TGAACGATACGTTCTTGAATGAAGGGAAAGGATTTTATGGTTGTGGCTATTGTCTAGCCTGTAAAAGGACAGGGAATAAGAAAAGAACTTTGACTCATTTTAAAAGTAAGGAGCATTTTAAAATAAAAGAAATGATAACGTGCCACACAAAAAATGTTATTTATGTTCTGCAGTGTCCCTGCGGCCTGAATTATGTGGGGAAAACAACCAGAGCCCTACATATTCGGATAGAGGAGCACAGCAGAAATATCATGAGAGGTGCTGACAATCATAGTGTACCAGCGCACTATAAACAATTTCATAATCAGTCCCCCTTAGGTACATTATTTTTAGGCATTAAAAAAGTTTCAAAAGATTGGAGAGGAGGTAACTTCAATCAGAAACTCAGCAGGGAAGAAATGCGTATAATTTTTGAATTTAATACCCTTATCCCTAATGGCCTCAACGCGGATTTTGAAATTTGTCATTTTTTGGAAGGATAGCCGAGCTCGTCCCTATCTTTAATATTTAATACTTTTTACAGTCCATATATCTTAGTATTATGTTCTTTTATATATGATTTTTTAGTATGTTTATTATGTTATATAAGCCTATGTGCAATAATCTTTATATTTAGAAGGACTATCTAGGGATGTCCAACTTTACTATAGATCTTTTAGAGATTTTTGACACAATTAAGAGATAATTTGAGTGTACTTCTATATATAATCCATCTGTCCGCATTCTATTTTATTATTATTTTATAATGTTAATTCGTTTCTATGATAGATTTCTCTAGCGTTTGTAGATAGTTTCTGTACATTTTATCAGATCTAGTACTTTGTTATATGTGACTAGGATTCACTACACAAAATTATGAAATATTGTATGACTCGTTTGCGTTATTTTATGCCGGTAGTTCAACTTAGTAATAAGTGACAGTGAGCTATAATGAGAAAATAAGGACACAGTGTTAACTTATCTATGTTAGTATATTTAACAAGTCTCCTACCACTGTAGAATTCCTGGGTTTAACTCAGTGAAAAGTGACAGTGATTCATAAAGAGAAACCATCACGATACAATGTTAATTTAGCTGTGTTATTTTAGGTAACAAGTTTTTTGCTACTGTTTAACTTCAGAAATATAAAGTGAGTACAAATAAAGAGAATGCAATTAACGTTGTAATAGCTCCCTGACAATATTTTAGTAGCAATAGGAGAAATGTGACAGACTTTCTGTTCACACACTTTCATTAGATATAAGATACATTTTCATTGGATCGAAGAAATATTTATTTATCTAATTATTGTTTTTGTGTAACTACACAAGCTTATTATTCCCCTCTATTATTTCCTTTCCTATCATTGACCTCGATATGTAAAATGGTATCCGTGTATGATACCCGATCACATGATTGAGAGGGATGATGTCATATGAGGAAGTGATCCGGATGTAAACAGAGGCGTGGAACGCATATACTGATCGGGCGTGGACCGAACAATCGCGCCTTTTTTCAAATGACAGAACAGAAGAAGGAGACTATATAAGCAGGACCATTGCACTTTAGGAAGACCTATTGAATCCAGCTGAGGAAGCCGTCGGAGTTACGGTGAAACGCGTTCTGGACAGAAGTGTATGTTATTGTTATGCCCATTTATTATTTATTTGTTCATTTTATATTTTTTTGCGCTTTGGATTTTGGCGTTTTTTACTATAGAGGGTTTTTCTACACCCTGGTAATGTAATAAATTATTTATATACTTTTTAATTATTATATGGGCTTTTTTCTGGTTCCTGCTTGGAAAAGTTCTACATTTTATTCAATGCGCAGAGACAGAGCCGATATAGAGGCTCCATTCTTGTGAGTATATTATATACTTTAAGCAGTAATATTATACACAGACATTCTACACTATATATCTGTTTTACTTGAGCCCTAGAGACGATTGGAGATAGACACCTGATAAGAAGAAGGGGAAGGTCGCCTGTACGGACCTAAACGCACTTATTCCTGAGCTTGGCATTAAGCTCAGAAGAATGTGAGTTTGTTATTATATTTGACTCTCACTATCAGTTTAATTTACAGTGTTACACTATTAGAGTTCTCTTTGCTTATTTTAGGTGGACTATATAAGATATTGGAATTACCCTCATTTGGAAGCCTGACTATTCTATTAGGCCCAATCCTATTATATGTATGTATATAGCGCTACACCGATTTCACATTGTTTTATCATACATCTTTATTTAGACTATAGCAGTCTGCCTTCCATTTCCGATCGGCAGGGCAGGCGTGCATGAGATTAGCAGCCTGCCTTCCTTCTCCTATATTGATTCACATAGCAGGAGATCAGCATTTAACTATCTGACTACCATCTAGAATCCCATCTGCATATCATATGTGTGGCTGGTGTTTCTGAATACATAGACACATCACCATTAAATCTCAACATTTAACTTGTACTATCAAATTACAACCAGGATTACTAAATGCTAGACATTTCAGGCTAATCCCTTTATTAATAATTTTCTTCTGTTTGAATCGTTCATCCCACTTGGTACACTTGTTAAGGTGAAAACAAACTGTTTATTTATTTAAACAAGTGTACAAGTATTTAAACAAGTGTACAACAGGTGTACAAGACTAAGAAGCAGCAGACCTTACTAAATGAGCACAGATTTAGATATCATTTTACTTTATGAATAAAAGCAATTGTGTCCACTGGATCTAGCAAATAGCATTAATTATATACTGATATTTCATTTGCAAACCTAGGCATAACTATGCACTATTAACAATAACAACTGTAGCATTTCACCTAGGAAACATTACTAATAGGGATGAGCGAACCTGAACTGTAAAGTTCGGGTTCGTACGAAACATTACGATTTTTGGACCCCGAACCTGAGCCTGGACATTTCAGTAACAGTTCGGGTTCGAGTTCAGTGTTCAGCGATTTAATGGCGCGTTTTGAAAAGCTGCAGGGCAGCCAATCAACACGCGTTTGACTCGTGTGCCCTTAGAAGCCATCACAGCCATGCCTACTAATGGCATGGCTGTGATTGGCCAGTGCAGCATGTGACCCAGCCTCTATATAAGCTGGAGTCACATGAGCTCTTATTAGTGCAGGGAGAGGATGCTGCAGCTGTGAGGGACAGATTAGGAAAGAATTACCAGATTTTACTAATTTCATGACGTAAATTCATGATTTTATTAAGGACACAGAGGCGAGTATTAGGCTTTATCTCTTTCTTTATTCCTCAGCAACAAAGAAAAGATATTGATATTTTAATATAGCAATAACAAGAAAAAACAAATACCCTTAAGGGTTAACCATATAACATTCCAGATATATTAACCAATGGGATCAATCCTTGTATTATGTCCCCTCATGTGACCTAAGCCACTCCCTCTTTCTAGCTGACGCCGAAGCTGAACACATCAACAGGAAAAAATTCTTAAACTTGGGTAATCTCAGGTAGAGGGTTCCGGTGAGTCTTCCGGTATAGTTAGGAGGTAGAGGATGATCCCGGTTATTCCATCACAGGGTTAAGCTGAAGGAGACAGAGAGATATATGGTAAAATATATTCAGATATCGTTGTCATGCATATAAGCTGTGCAAGTTTTCTTAAAAAGCGTTCATATCTGAAACATTTTTCTTGAATCCAGCAAATTCAAAATCAAAATTAGTATTATTAGTATATAACACTGCATCTGAACATCCAAATCACTCCTACCTGTTTATAGGCAATTGGGTGGGAAGATACATGTATTGCTTAGCTGTCATTGGGCGGGCTAATACTCGCCTCCGTGTCCTTAATAAAATCATGACTTTACGTCATGTAATTAGTAAAATCACGGAGGCTCATGTTAGGCTAGTTTAAAGCTGTGAGATGACCATAGATGAGATATGTTTTGTTGGGCGAAAATAGTACTCTTTAAACGTCGATTCTTGGGACCAATCAGCTTTGTGGAGGAGGTCTTCCAATTTACAACCAATGGAGAATGCTTTAGAGGCCATAGCGCCTCTAGTAGAATGTGCTCCGTAAACTGATGTGTCGATGTTAGCAGCTGACATTATTCATTTCACCCAGCATGCCAGAGTTCCCGTGGATACTGGGTGATCAGGTTTCCTCACTGCCAAGAACAGGTCGTGCGTTGTTGGGTTCCGGAATGACTGGGTCCGCAGTTCGTATTCCCAAAGGCATGCCACCGGGCAGAGGTTAGCATTGTGAGGAAAGGAGGGATAGAAGACTGACGTGATTTTCGACTTTGGACGTCTGGTGATATTAAACAGGACACTGTGTGGGGTGAAGGACCGTGCATCGATATAGGGCTCAAACGTCTGATACCCTTTTGCAGGAAATTAAGCACAGGAGAATAGCTAATTTTGCGGACACTTGTTTGAGATCTGAGTTTGGAGGCCAGTCTTCCAACAAATGAAGGACCATATTAACATCCCATAAGGCCATGTAGCGGGGTTGTGGTGGACGTGCAAATTTTATGCCTCGTAGAAGACGACAGACCAATAAGTGTTTCCCGGCTGGAAAACCCTCCCATCTGTCGTGCCCAGCTGAAATCGCTGATCTATACACGTTTATGGTGCGGTAGGCCAAGCCTTGATCATATAGGGTAGTAAGGAAAACCAGGACCAGATTTACAGGAGCACGTAGGGGATCCACGTGTTGTTCCACGCACCAACTACACCATGTGTTCCAGGCATGAGTATAGGATCGTCTTGTTCCTGGGGCCCAAGCTCATGCCAATAGGTCCAAAGTTGTTTGTGAAAACGTTCGGCACGGTCTAGGGTCCCCTGAGATGAGCCATGCTAGAAGTCTGAGGTGACCTTGCACCATAAGTGTGTGAGAGTTCCCGTCGGAGTCTGATAATAGTTCCGTGCATCCTGGGAACAATCTGGGAAGGTCGATGGACATTTCCATAAGTGAAGGGAACCAAGGCTGTGCCGTCCAGAACAGCGTTATTAAAACCACCGATGCTCGGGAGCGTTGTAGGTGTAGGAGAGTTTGTGCTATGAGTGAGAAGGGAGGAAAGGCGTATAGCCTGTTGGTTGGCCAGTGTTGTAGGAAGGCGTCCACTGCCATAGCAACTGGGTCCGGTCTCCAGCTGAAGAATGAGGGAAGTTGAGCATTCAGCCGGGAGGCAAAAAGGTCGATGTGCATTGGTCCCCAGAGTTGGTGGAGCTTCTGCAATATTGTGTGATTAAATCGCCAGGCGCTGTTGTCTTGTAAGTGTTTGGAGTTCCAATCCGATATGGTGTTGGAGAGTCCTGGAAGGTATTCCGCCTGTACTGATATGTTGCGACTCAGGCATAAATGCCAAAATTATTTCGCCAGGTTTGTGAGTATTGAGGATCTCGTGCCATCCAAGTGATTGATGTAGCGAACGGCTGAGATATTGTCCATGCGCAGAAGTATGGCACAGTTGGTCGTGTGTCCGAGGAGGCTCCGGAGAGCGAATGACCCAGCTAGGAGTTCCAAACCATTGATGTGGAGTTCTTTTTCTTCTGAAGACCATTTTCCACCTGTAGAGGTGGGACCACAACGAGCACCCCATCCGAGTCTGCTCGCGTAGGATTCTATGATGAGATCCGGGGTGGTTCCGAAGATTGCCTTGCCGTTTCATGCTTCCATGTGTGGAAGCCACCATGCCAGTTCCTCTTTTGCTGCGCAGTCTGGAGGTACAGAATCTGAGTAGGACTGACCCAAGTGTAGGTGGGTGGCTTTGAGCTGTTGCAGGGATCTGTAATGGAGAGGTCCTGGGAAGATCGCTTGTATGGAGGCAGATAGCAGGCCAATTATCCTGGCTAGCTGTCAAAGGGTTAAGACTGGTCGTGTCAACGTCCGTCGGATCTCTTTCTTGATGAGTTTTACCTTCGTGGTAGGTAAACTGAGCGTTCTGTGAATTGCGTCTATATTGAAGCCCAGAAACTCTATTGAGTGGGAAGGTTGCAGGATTGATTTGTCCCAATTGATTAGGAAACCCAGATTTTGCAGAAGGGTCAACGCCCAGGATAGATGCTTGTTCAGTAGCTGGGTGTCATGGGCCATGATCAGCATGTCGTCGAGGTATATCGTGAGTTATGCATCTTGGAGGTCCAATTTTACCATCCAGTCTCCCAGTCTTAGTAGGTCTCGGAGGCAGTGTATCCCTTCCATCTTGAAGTGATGGTATGTGACAAAGGCATTGAGAGGCCGCAAGTTTATTACTGCTCTTGTGCACCCACCTTTCTTGGGTACTAAGAAGATGTTGCTTAGGAACCCGGGGGCGGTAGCTGAGACTTTGTAGATTACACCTTTCTACTCTAGTGTGCGAATCTCTTCTGATACCAGATTTTTGTCACGTGGGGAAAAAACAATCCGATGTGGTAATGAGAATTGAATCGGTTGTTGTGTGAATTCGATGTGGTAGCCTAGGATGGTCTCTAGGACCCAGGCATCTGAGGTTAGTTTGTGCCAAGCATCTTGGAAATGAAACAATCTGCCCCCCACATGTGATAAGGAACGGGTAATGGGAAATGACTCACCATAAGGCAGATGGCTATAGGAGGATCCCCCTGGTTCCACGTGGGTGCCACAACCTGCCCCTGGTCAGGAAGAACGGTGACAGTGCTTTTGGTTTGGGCGGCTGGAACCTTGTTGTGGCGGAGCCTCGGATGCCCCGGAACGAAGTCCAGGAGGGGAGGCCGGACAGACGGCCCTGCTGTCTGCCGACCCCACCGAAAACCTTTTGCGAGAACACCCGCTTCATATTATGTTGTGCCTTATCTAGTGCCGTGAACGTGCTGACATAATTGCCCAGGGTTTTGACAAAGTCGTCTCCCAATAGGAGACCGTTTGTCTGTGTGCCACGCTCGGAGTATGCCAGATGTATATAAATTTTGGCTCAATTTTCATTAATATGGCTTTACGCCGTTCTGTGGCCAAAGCAGTATTGGCTTTTCCAATTAGGCATATGCCTCTCTGGATCCATCCTCTGATGTCCATTAAATCAATTGAGGTCCCCTCAGTAAGGGCCGCTTCGACCATGTTGAAGATTTTGGCTATAGGTCCAGGTATGTCTAGGACCTTGTCTTGGCAATGCTTTAGGGAATAGTCCAGACAATTTTTGGCCTTCCATCCTGACTTACCCAGGAACTGGGCAATCTTGGGGTCCACCCCTTTACCCACCCGCGATCCCTGGCCCTGCATGATAGCATTTCAAAATTCCTGACCTTTGAAATGCTGTCATTCCGTCTGGTGGAGACGGACAGTTTTAAAAACCTGATGGCGGTGGCTGTCCCACAGTACGTGGTTCCCAGCCGCCACTACTTTTCCAGGCGAGCCATCCCTTCCCTGCACAACCAATTGGCGGACAAAATCAGGTGTGCACTGCACAACGCCATCTGTGGCAAGGTCCACAAAACCACTGATACGTGGACCAGTAAGCACGGGCAGGGACGCTATATCCTGACTGCACACTAGGCAAATGTAGTGGAGGCTGGGCCTGAGGCGGATAGCAGTTTGGCGCATGTCCTTCCGCCACCGAGGATTGCAGGGCATTTCTCTTTGCGTCCTGTTGCCTCCTCCTCCTACTCGGCTTCCTCCTCCTCTACCACCTCCTCATCCAGTCAGTGTGTAACACCTTCACCACCAACTTCAGCACAGCCGGAAGCTGTCTGTTTTAAAACTCATATGTTTGGGGGAAAAAACCCACAACGCGCAGGAGCTGTGGACGGGCATGGAACAACAGACAGAAGAGTGGTTGTTGCCAGTTAGCCTCAAGCCCGGCCTGGTGGTGTGGGATAATTGGCGAAATCTCGTAGCAGCTCTGGGCCTAGCCGCTTTGACGAACATCCCTTGCCTGGTGTATGCGCAGAATTTGGTGGTGCAGAAATTCCTGAAAAACTACCCAGATATATCAGAGCTGCTGCAGAAAGTGCAGGCCGTCTCGGCGTTCTCACCTTGCTGCTGCTCGCCTGTCTGCGCTGCAGCATAACTTCGGCCTTCCCGCTCACCGCCTCATATGCGACGTGCCCACAAGATGGAACTCCACCTTGCATATGCTAGATAGACTGTGCGAGCAGCAGCAGGCGATAGTGGAGCTTCAGCTGCAGCACGCACGGGTCAGTCGCTCTGCACCAGACTTGCCCTCCAATAGATCCTCGTTAAAGGATTTAAAGTGTACTCATTCCAATTACAAGGCCTCGAAAGAGTCCTGTATTGTTATTTATCGCCACTACCTCCGCGTCAGGAATGAATAGTTAGCGCGTCTGCTGCCTTCCTTGGATGTGGCAGCCGTTTCTCAGGCTTCCTCTCCGGAATCAAACCCTGATTTCCCGTTACCCATGGTCACCATGGTAGGCGTAGAAAATACCATCGAAAGTTGACAGGGCAGACATCCGAATGCGTTGTTGCCGTCACGGGGACGTGTGATCGGCCCAAGGTTATCTAGAGTCACCAAAGTGCCTGCGCAACGACTGCCGAGTTGCCCACATTCTAACTTGTGCTGATTACTGGGTGGCCACCCTGCTGGATCCCCATTACAAGGACAACATGCCGTCCTTAATTCCCTCACTGGAGCGTGATCGGAAGATGCGCGACTACAAGCGCGTGCTGGTAGACGTGCTGCTGATGGCATTCCCAACTGACACCAAGGGCTCAGTGGAAGCACAAGGCGAAGGCAGAGGAGGAGGAAGAGGTCGACAACGCAGCTGGGGCACCGCCAGCACCTCAGAAGGCAGGGTTAGCATGGCCAAAATGTGGAAAAGCTTTGTCAGCACGCCACAACAACCAGCACCACCAGCTGATATGGAATGTCTTAGCAGGAGGCAGCATTTCAGCAACATGTTGGTACGTGTGCACACGCCTACACGTACTGAGTGATGGATCTGCCCCATTCAACTTCTGGGTCTCCAAATTGGGCACATGGCCTGAGCTTGCCCTTTATGCCTTGGAGGTGCTGGCCTGCCCTGCAGCCAGTGTATTGTCTGAACGTGTGTTTAGCACGGCAGGGGGCGTTATCACAGACAAGCGCAGCCGCCTGTCCACAGCCAACGTGGACAAGCTCATGTTTAATAAAATGAACCAGGCATGGATCCCACCAGACTTGTCTGTACCTTGTGCAGAATAGACATTTATACCAGCCTCACCCAGCCATTGTTATACTCAAGTGCACTTATTCTTTGTTTTCTTTTTTTATATGTCCCAATATTTTGGGGGCTACCCCAATTGTTTGCAGGGTGCAGGCCGAACTCAAACTTTTTGCCGATGTTCGGCCGCACCTGGCGAACCCGAACATCCAGGTGTCTGCTCATCTCTAATTACTAGTTGTATACCGATACATTCTTTGCAACTAACTTGCCAGTGACACTGAAACTAGGCAGGCAAACTCACTTTTCAAATGCAGATCCTGCATCACTTTGAGCACTAAAGCACTATTATTACTAAATATAACCTGTTTTATTTTATTCTGTTGACCTAGTTTTATGGAGAAATAATAAAGGTTAATAATAAAGGTTACATTTTATACTTCTATTAGGGCACTCAATTCTTGTTCTCTCATTACTACTTCTCTAGTTACCTGGGTTATCCCCAGAAAGAGTGAATTCCTTATTCTTAGGCATCCATCTTTTTCCAAATTTTTATGTTAAAATAATGTTGATTAAAGCTAATTAAAGTAATACAAGGGTAAAGTCTATTGCCGAGCCCATAATAAATCTTTAATATTTCACTATATGTTTTATTTAAATCCAAAAACATTGGTATTTCCAAGATTGCAGTATGGCAAGCTACTGTATTTTATCTATTCTCCTATATGTATCAGCAATAGGGGAAAATCAATAATAATAATAAAAACATTAAAGGCTACTTGTTTTTTTTCTGATGTCCAACACAGCAATCAATGCACAAAATTGCTAATTTTTGTAAATGTTTATTATAATAGTTTTGTGTTCTGTTATTGAAATACATGTGTTTTGTTTTTCAATGTGACAAACAACATGCTGTTATCAGTGGCGTACATATAGGGGTCGCAGGGGTTGTGGACCCCTGCAACCAGGTGCCAGCTGTCATGTTTTGTGACCCCGGCCCGCGCGGCAAACTTCCGAGGCCGTCTTTCAAGGGGTCCATCAGGTGGCCCATGGTGTTAGGGACACCCGATGGGTATTGATTTTCAGGGGGCCCGGTAAGCGCTGGGTGCTTTAACAGCGCAACCAGGGCCCCTGTGATGACATCACATGCTGGGAGGAAGTGACTGCCCTGGTCACCCCACCCAGGAATCACACAGAGTCTGCTCGGGAGGAAGCAGAGGAAGGAGTCAAAATGGGAACTCTGACTCCCATCAACCTGAGTTACCACTGGATCCCAGGGAAAGTCACCCTCCTGCACCTAAAAGGTAGGAAACAGGAGGATGATTTAAACATTTTGTATATATGTGTGTTTGTTTGTTTGTATGTATGTGTGTCTGTCAGTCTGTGTGTCTGTGTGTGTGTCTGTGTGTATGTATGTGTGCCTGTCTCTTTGTATGTATGTGTCTTTGTATGTATGTGTGTCTTGTGTGTGTCTGTATGTATGTGTCTTTGTGTCTGTCTGTATGTGTGTATGTTTCTGTGTGTGTGTGTGTCTGTATGTATGTGTGCCTGTATGTTTGTATGTATGTATGTATGTATGTGTCTTTGTATGTATGTGTGTGTCTGTCTCTCTGTATGTTTGTGTGTCTGTCTGTATGTATGTGTCTGTCTGTGTGTCTGTATGGATGTATGTGTGTGTGCCTGTCTGTTTGTATGTATGCATGTCTTGTGTGTGTCTGTGTCGGTCTGTATATATGTGTCTGTGTGTCTGTCTGTATGAATGTATGTATGTGTGTCTGTCTGTTTGTATGTGTGTGTGTCTTGTGTGTGTGTGTCTGTGTGTTTGTCTGTCTGTATGTGTCTATGTGTGTGTGTGTCTCTATGTATGTATGTGTCTGTCTTTATGTGTGTATGTGTCTCTGTATGTCTGTATGTATTTTTCTCTGTATGTATGTGTGTCTGTATGTAAGTGTGTGTGTCTGTTAGGGCGTGGGGGGAAGAGAAGAGATGGAGGGGGGGGGGCCATGGATCAGTTTCGCACCGGGCCCCATGGATTGTGTATATGCCACTGGCTGTTATTCTTCATTACTAAGTGCTCAGCATTGAATGGGTTAAGGATTGGACAGTTTTAGACTTTTTGTGCTGAGAACTTCTGTGTACCATTTGTGGCAATCCTGGCTTTGCTGAGCTCCATAACTCTCGTCGCACACTAGTGGGAGCGTGAACTTGCTTTGGTACTATTTTGTCTTATAAAGAACATATGGTTTAAGATCACATCAAAAGAACCTGCTGGTGTGAACTTTTCACCCTGTTGTATTCCGATGATGCCCATATCCCTAAATTATTCATTTAATAGTAGGGTTCTATTAAACTTGTATTGCACTTGTGGGTTTCTTGTTACTTTTTTGGATATTGAACTATGGATTGTCAAATTGACTTTGACTGAATGATGCCTGATTTGATCACATTCATTTGACCTCACCGTTGCATGAACTCTGCCTTTTTACGACCTCTTCTAATGGCCACATTTTGACTGAACTGTCATATCTTCTACATTTGTTTTTAAAAGTAGTTTTTAAGCAAGTTTAGATGTATTATTCTTTCTCACACTATTAAAAGGACAGAGGAGTAACCTTTTTCTCAGCATAACTTGACGTCTAACATTTATGGTTGTGCTTCAATGCAATTGAGTTAAATATTTCAGGACATCGTAGCTGTTTTTGGCCTAAATGTTTCAAGTTGCTCACCTCCTTGCTATTTAGTGAATAAACACTTAGATATACTAATCTAAAAGTGTTTGTGTTGTGAGAAAATAATACATTTAGATAAATAATAGAAAAAAGCGTTTTTATTTTCTAGCACATAGAAATCTTAAGATGAAGAACTTGTGTTTAAATATGGTTATTTGTATTTTTAATGCACTAGAACATTCTGTTCATAACCTCTGTAAGGCAGTGAGATCAGCACATTAACCTCACTCTTTCTCTCATTGAGCAGAATTGCAGTTCATTATCATATATCCCAGAAATGGCTTTTACACTCTATAAAAATTAAGCTTCAATTGGAACACGCTCAGTGAGTAAAACCGTGTCTTTTTGACACATTCATTTATTTTATTTTTCAGAGGTCAGTAATTATTTTTTTTAATATGTTTTTTCTCTTAAGTTTGTCTTATGGGAAACATCAAACTTCTGGGATCCTCTTCAAGACATCTCGCTGGTCAAATGTGTTAATGGTTCCAGTCAGGGCTATATTAAAATGTTCGAGTATCTCTCACTTTAATTTATGAATGTGGCTGCTTGTCTTTATTTAATAAACTATTTGAATGATGTTTACTACAATATAAACATGGAATTGTGGAGAATTGAAAATGAAATAGCAAATTAGACCTAAATTTGCCAAATTGGAAATATTTTCTATCTTCAATGTTTTTTTCTAGTTTGTTTATTTTTGCTCTAAAACACATCGATTTCCTGAATTGAAAATCTGTAAAATACTTTATTTGTCAAACCTATACTTAGTTTTATCGACATTACTTTTATTGCATTGATATGTATATTTTCTCTAAATTACAAATTCACTTGCAATTACTTCTGGCCTGAGCTCCCTGCAAATCTGTAAGGACATGGCCCCTTTAAGACTCACTGATAGTCAGGAATCACCTTTCCTATAAAAGACACCTACATGTTTTAGGAGCATTTATCTCCAGTTAAATCCTGACCCTCGCAACCTTTTCCTCCAATATCTAAGCAGCTCACGTAATATATCTAATCAGCGAAATAAGGATACCACAATAATAACTTTGAGCTGACATTAGCTTTTTGAAAGCGTGATAATTCTACGATGCTCACAGTAGAATTATTCTATTTTAATAGCAATCGCTCATTACGAACCTTTGAAGGATCAAAACTTATATATTTGTTCCATTAACTAGTACACTAAGGGCATATAACCTTATCATGGCTGTATAGAACATTGGATGATACAAATGTTAATTCAATGCTACATTGTGACAACAATAATAACACCCCCCCTTTCCCCTCACTTCTTTTACCCTTCTGAGCTTCCGTACATCCCAATTGAGTCTTACGTCATCATCCTTACGGTTGACCAAATCAGGATCACGGGTGGGCTATTTAAACTTACCACACCAGGGAGTCAGTTCCCCCTTGATGAGCCGCAGTCCGACGAAACGCGCGTCGGGGCTTTAAACTCTCCGTCCTCCTTTGGTGTTACTCCGATACTCTATGCGACTTTGCATCTGGTTACCTATTTTAATCACTCAACATCCAGGCGCACCTCAGGATCGGTTCACAGACTGCT